GGGGGGGGGGGGAATGTGTCGTCATCGGCAACGCGTTGATGTGCCAAGTTTCAGATGGATAGGTTGGCGGGAAGTGGCTCAATTAGCCGTCCGAAAATTGTGTCGCCCAGCTAGAGCACGCGAACAAAAGCGTGGTTAATATAAATGATTTAATGAAGGCGTTAACCCAAAATCCGCAAAATCTTCTTTGTCAAAAAAGAAAAAAAAAATTTGAAACTCCAATCAACTAAATACTACAGTACCATACATTGCCTATCACCTGTCTAATTACGGCACGATAAACCCATTTTGAGAATCGCAAATTTAAACTAATAATCGACGAGTTAGACACCCCAACCAACAGTTTGAAGATTCAAATAATCAGAAATCAGTACTTGGATCACATTAAACGTCAGCACTCACAACTGTCACATGTCAGCACTTCCAACTGTCACGTATCAGCACCTCCAACTGTCAAGTATCATCACCTCCAGCTGCCACATATCAGCACCTCCAACTGCCACATGTAAGCACTTCCAACTGTCACGTATCAGCACCTCCAACTGTCACATGTCAGCACTTCCAACTGTCACGTATCAGCACCTCCAACTCTCACATACCATCACCTCCAGCTTTCACAAATCAGCACCTCCAACTGTCGCGTTTCAGCATTCACAACTATCAAGTATAATCACTAAAAGATGTGACTTATCGGCACCTCCAACTGTCACATCTCAGAACTGTCACAACTCACAACTGTCACATGTCAGAACTCACAACTGTCACATGTCAGAATTCACCACTGTCACATGTCAGAATTCACCACTGTCACAACTCACAACTGCCACATGTCCGAATTCATAACTGTCACATGTCTGAATTCATAACTGTCACATGTCAACACGCCCAACTGTCATATATAGGCCCCTCCAACGGTCACGTATCAGCACCATGGGCGCCCGCAGAAAACTTTCTTGGGGGGGGGGGGGCAAAAAAATTGATCAACTTTCCAGGCGGGGGGGGGGGGCAAAAATGTTTTAGTTTTTAGTTATGTTTTAATATAGTTTTAATTTACTGTAGCGTATTTGTATGGTGAACGAACGGACAGGACATCAGCTTAGTTACTTTCTCTTTATTTTCTCTTTACTTTAATACATTTTTTGTCTAAACATTTTTTATCCAATCAATCTAGGGGGGGGGGTAAGTGCCCCTTCTTGCCCCCTTCCCCCCGCGGGTGCCCATGGATGAGTTACATAATTATGTATGCTCTTAAATCTGTTTTAATGAACTCTATTTTTTGCACTTGTGGCTCCAGTTGACTAGAATGTTCAGCTACATTCAAACAGAAATTGCTATATTGTAATTTGGAAACAAACAAAATCCAGGCATTGACTTGTATCTAAAATGTAAAAGAATTATCGTTCGTGATCTCTCGCGTGGATATGTCTTTACAAATTAGTAAAAATAACAATTAATATAAATTATACCACGACTTCATTATCTCGACACTTTGTGTTTTTGTGTGACAGCGGTCTTATTCCTACTGATCCCAATTGTTTTATTTTGTTTTACGTGTTCCAACCTTGCTTTTTCTAAATTAGCATCGACTATAGAAAGAAATACATGCCTCAATCAATGAAATTATTAACCCTTATTTTCAATAAATGTGTTTAATTAGTAATACATTTTTGTGGAAAAAAATTAAAGGAAAAAAAAATGCAACTATTCAATCAGCGTGATATAAGTGAAACAATTATATTAAAAAATCTGTCTTTTACTTACCGTGTTATTCTGTTCTAATGACCAAGTAGAATCTATCATTTCTCGTTACCTTTAAGCTTGGTCTTCTAAATCAAAGAATTGTTGTCGGTCAGAAATTCAGCATGCCACTGAATGTAGCCTATTATCGAAGAAGTCACTGATATTTTCAAACAGTTACAATTTTTTGTTTGTTTAAAACTTGGTTTGAGATGTCAATTTATTTAATTTGAATACCGTAGCTGTTTTTCCCGGCAATCGGGAGACACATATTTGAGCCAGCCCCTGGCTATAGCCCCATCGGTCTCACTGGTTATACCTTTTAAATAACGTTTGCTACAAAGAGAATATCACCGAAGAGTCGATACACAGCGTAATATTTTTTTATTTAATCACAACTTAGTTGCTGTGAATCTAGAATTTAAAATGTCTGTTTAGGATCAAAATGCCCCCCCCCCCACCCTTTTTTTTTTTT